ATTCCAATTCTTAGTGGTCTTTCTAAATGTTTAAATACTTAAATTCAAGTATTTATCACTCTTCTGGGACCTCTGTAGAATTTATTTACATTTGGAGTTACTATTATCAGAGAGAAGTTCACTTTTAAAATATCAGCAAAAAAGTAGTCTATATAAAAGTATTACCACAAATGTGATTCCTTAAGACAAGTATCTGTTTTTTTCCCCCTAAATGCCACCTGCAAGCTGTAAATATGTGTATTAATTTTTCCCCACAGTATTTGTTTTGGCTGTGACCTACTCTAATGTTCAGATGAACAAGGGCTAAAAACTGTCAAACCAAATTCTTGTTTGAGAGCTGAGCCCGAACTACTGCCAGTTTGAGAGAAACACACATGCAGGTTTAGGGAATATGTTTTGTTTGTTTTGGCTATGACACACGGCAGAACAGTTTCCATCCCATTCGAATGCATTCAACAGAGTTTGAAATATTGCACAATAAAAGTCATTCATTATATCTGTCTCCTTTCCCTTCCAAAAACAGAAATGGCTGCCTGGTCCCAAATCTGCACAGGGGGCAGGAAGAAGGGAGCACAGGGTCACTGGAAACCACCCAAGACCAACACTGGGTTTTCCAGGTTTGAGTGAGGGAATGCTTCTGCAATATTCATTCCCAACGCCTACTGAGAACGAGAGGCGGCTCACACCGGATAGGGCTCTGTTAGGAACCACGAGGAGACAAGCACACTGTGCTCAGAGCATACACCGCACGCGTGACCCCCCAGCGCCTGGCACCTGAGTAACCTCACTGGAACTGGGAAGTCTTTTTACCCCCTTTCTCTGTGAAGATTCAACAGTTTGACACCAATGTTATACTGAAGAGAGATTATTTCACCCGTTGGACCATACATCTGGAAGAGCCTATTTCCGCAAGCTCCGATGCTACCTTATTTGATGGCCCCACAGAGAAAACGATGACATTTCCTTCCTGTTTACCCAGGATATCAAACTCTGGAAATGCAGGTGGTTGTTAAATGACAAAAATAAGAAATGCCACGAACAAATCACTATAGCTAACATTGCAAAACACTACCAAGGTGGAAGAAACTTTTCTAAAAAGCAAATTTTAAGTGGGTGAATAAAAGCCATGAGAATAAAAATTACATGTAGTAAAGAGATATGTTATCTTTACATTTCAGGGCTCTAAAAGTCACACATGAATACAGTTTTAGGAATTTGAAACTTAAAAAATTACATGATTTGAATTTTCTTGCATTACATTTAAATTCAAAACTCCTGCAGCTGGCACCCTGCAGGAGGCCACTTTTATCATGGAGAATATAAATTCAGGCGTCTCATCAGACAATGTGTGTACCATGAGCAGACGAGAAAGAGGAGACGGAAGGAAGGCTGCTCTCCACTGACCTTTGGTAATTCTGGAAATCCCTACCTACCCCTTAGAAAACACAAACTTGTATTTTTCTTTAATGGGTCTGCTCATTTATTTTCCCTTTTTAAGTCAGTGATATAGAAAAAGTTCCAGAAGAATCCTTGCTTCGCAATATCCTAAAATTCTCTAAAGCCTTTCTAATAAATCTTAAAATTAAGGTCCCTGGAGGCTAAGTATAGTCCTGGTTGAAGATGTGGGACAAAGCATTTATCAGGAGAACAGCAGTAGTTAGTTCTCTTCTCACTAAAGCTACTGTGTTACTTGTAGTCTGTATCACGATGTCACAAAAAGCAGAGAAGCACCAGAGGATGAATGTATAAAAATGAACAAAGTAGTACTGCATTAGACACACTGGAAATGTTAGGCCAGAGGACATTCATAATTAGTCCACTCTAGAGCCAAGCTCAAGCTATGAAATAATCTTCAAATGAATTCAGGATCAAGAACACACTTTCCCACACGTGCTGTGACTTTTGTAATTTAATTTCACGTCAGTACTGCTCACTCGGTCCGGGGCTCTGGGCTCAGGGGCGGCCCTCCGGGCACACTGCACAACCTGGCAGCACAAAGGCCAGAGCTGCTTCACTGTTCCAGAGGGAGACTTCTTTAAAATCAAACCCACCTGTTACATTTTAAAGGAATCTACAATCTCCAGTCTAGGTTCGATTCCATGCCTCATCCAGATGTATTAGACTAGAATGGGAAGTTGAGAAAAATGTTTAAAAACAAAAAAGGTGTATGAGATGAGGCAAACTTACACTATCCAGTCTCTAAGTAAAGACGAAAGGCAGTTTGGAACACAATGTGCCTTTTGGATCCCGAGTGCCCTAAAACGCCTACCAGTCAAGCTTTGTGCAAGCATCACTTCTTCCAGGAAAGTACAAAACCACCTCAGAGAGTCTGAAGTTGGTGCCACCTCTGAGGCTGAGAGGCCCCGGGCCCTCTGTTGGGAACCGCCCTGACTGGTATCAGAGGCTGAAACCCCCACCTAGCTAAGGCTAAGGGAACACCCTTGGAACCGTAAGCCGGCAAGGAGATAAAAGCTTATCTCCCTGGCAGGAATGCTGCTTCTGCTGCTTTATTCATGACTGAACCCCCCAAAAAGCTTGGTCGGTTAGCCAAAGACGGGTAAGATTCCCCACGGGGGGAACGACCTAAGCCAGGCACGATCACTTTGGGAGGCCCCCCCCAAAAGAAGGACTTGGGGGGCTGCAGCAAAAGGGGGTGATGGACCCTCGCTCCTCGGCTTTGACATAGCCTGAGTTCTCAGCGTCTGGGAGAAAATCTCCTTATCTCTTGGTTACCTAGTTCCCTTGCTCCACCTAAGCCTAAAACAATGACAGGGTGGTGCAGCTCGGTACTGAGAAGTGCGGATTCCTTGGGTGATCAGGCCTAAGAAAGAATATGTAAATTACTGTGAAACCTTCTTTGTTTAGAATGCTCTCAGTTGAATGAGAAGGGTCTTAGGAGGAAGTTAGTTTGTTCCTCAGTCTTACAGCTCTTTGACCCCCAACTCAATAGACCGGCAGAGTTCTTTGTTTTCTATAGTTCCTTACTTCCCCTAATGAGCACTGTACTTTACCTGAATTATTATGCAGCATGAGCCCAATAAAAGCAGGTATGGACTGTAAATCAGCGTGCTCCTCACTAGAAGGGGTGGCCATTTCGTCCCTACTTCTCCACAGAAACTAGTTTGTCTCTGTGCATGTTTTTTCTCGCGTGTTTATCGTCGAGCCATCCACAGCGTTCCGTGGTCACTGCTGGCCGGTGACCCACGCGCAACAGCCCTCCTTAGGATCATACCCTGCAGGATAGTTCTGTCCCTTTAAAGAGGCAGCGGTCACATTTAGAAATGAATGCCTGGCACAGACATTAATGAGCCCACCATCTGCCTACCTAGGAAGACCTGGTGCAAGGGAGTTTTCCCACATTAAGAAGTAATTCTCAAATGCTAAAGCTACTTTCTGACATATTTTGTGTGACCATTTTTACACCAAACCAAACTAAAATAAAACCTTAATTTCTGAGAAGAAACGAATCAGACTTATTAAAATAAAGATCAAAATTTAAATTTTTGGTAATTTTGAACTTTATTTTAATTCAACTCAATTTTTCTCACTGATACCGTACAATGTTCAAAAGACAGTTCTTTCTCAATGACTAATCCTACAATAACTCAGGGTGACAATTTTAAATTAGGAACTGCAGCAACCCAGTTTAGCAGAAGATGAATGTATCGGTACCCGCAGGAGGTTGGTTTCCTTACCATATTTCTGATAGCACAATATTTACTGACTTTTTGCACTAAATAGTAATGCCGGTGTGGGTATAACTGTAGGCTCCAGATAAAATTGGTTGGTCAATCCTTTGCTTCTACTGCCTTTTCCCTCACGAAAAGAACTTTAAACATTTACTATGATACAGATTCACAGTAAAAATTTTTAAAAAGCTTTCTTACAGCAATCAAGATAGTATGATGTTGATCTATGAACAGACCCATATACCAATGGAAGAGAATAAAGCCCAGAAACAGACCTATACATACAATAACAAAGATTCCATTGTAATTCAAAGAGAAATGCATAATCTTTTAACAAATAATTTCCATTTAAAAAAATCTTCACCTTACACAATTATACCAAAAAAAACCTCGACACAGACCTAACACCTGAGAGTTAAACACTATAAAACTTGTAGAAGAAAACCTGGGAGAAAATCTTAGTGCCCTTGAGTTTGCCCAAGATTTCTTGGCTAGGACACAAAAAAATGAACCATTAAAGAATAAAATTAACAAGCCCTGGCTGGTGTAGCTCAGTGGATTGAGCACGGGCTGGGAACCAAAGTGTCCCAGGTTTGATTCCCAGCCAGGGTATATTCCTGGGTTGCAGGCCATAACCCCCAGCAACCGCACATTGATGTCTCTCTCTCTCTCTCCCTCCCTCCCTTCCCTCTCTAAAACAATAAATAAATAAAATCTTTTAAAAAATTATAAAAAAAAGAATAAAATTAACAAATTAGATGATATCAAAATTTGTATCTGCGTTTCAAAAGCCACTGCTAAGAAAATAAAAGGGTGGCCACTGGCTAGGAAAAAAATACTTGCAGACATATCCAATAAAGGCCTTGTATCCAAATATACATAGAGCTCTTTTAACTCAGTAGTGATCAGTGACAACGAAAGAAAGCATGAGTGAGAGAGCTGAACTGACACTTCAAGTAAGATGACATAAGGATGGCAAACACACACAGGAAAAGATGCTCATTAGGGACATGTACACCAAAACCACAAGGAGCTACACAATTGCATTGCAAGCCTCCTAGAATGGTTATAGTGAAAAAGCCTGACAGTACCCGGGGCTAGTGAGAACATGAAGCGGCTGCAACAACTTTGCTGCAACAACTTTGCTGCAGGTAAGAATGCAAATCGGCACAACCACTCACAAAAGCTTGGCAGGTTCTAAACAGTTACAGCAAATCCTAATGGTATACCCCGGGAACCCCACTCCTAGACATTTACCTAAGATAAGTGAAAACATGCATCTGTAAAAATGACCCACATGTGACTGTCTATAGCAGCTTTATTTGTTAACAATCAAAACATAGAAACAACCCAAATATCCATCAATTGGTGAATAAATAAATTGGTACATCTGTAAAATGGAATACTACACAGCAATACACAGGAATAAACAAACTCATGACATACAACATTGATGAATCTCAAATGCATTGTGCTAGATTTTAAAAAGACACACACTGTAGGATCCCATTTATATGACATTATGGGAAAGGTGAAACTCTAAGGTAGGTATACGGCGAGTGGTTGGGAGAGGCCAGGGTTGGGGCAAAGGGAGACTGACTGCAAAGAGGTAGGAGAAAACTTCTTTTGGGGAGATGTGCTCTATTATTTGACTGTGGTGGTTGTTCCAGGACTGTATGAATTTGTCAAAAGTCAAACTGTGCTCAAAAGGGTGAACTCTACTGTAGGTTAATTATACCCCAATAAACTTGATGTAAAAAGAAAAAGCTCTTTCCATATAAAGCATGAATCAGGCATCATTAATCATGTTTTCTTGTCGGGCCAAATCCAAGCCTGACCCTCAGTTCCATGGCTTCAGCGCCCATGGGGAAAGGGGGTGAGTAGGAGAAAATGGAGGCCAAGTGGTAGGAGAGTATGAGAGACAGAGAGGAGGCAAAGACACCAAATTTTTATAAAGGGACTTTGCCAGGCAGGTGTGATTTATAAAAGAGAACTTAATAACCATTTTAATTTCAAGGAATTTATCTTACATTTTCACGCAAGCCCAGTGTGGTTAATTTTCAATAACAAAAAGATGAAGACAAGTAGCATGCATTAGGAAGGAAATGACTAAATTATAAATACCAAAATCACATAATTCTGTAAAAGAGGTCTGAAAGACTAAAGAGCACTAGGGCTCCCCGTGTTAAGACTGAAGAATACGCATGGTATCTTGTTGAATAAAAAAGTCAAGCTGCGAAGCAGTACCGACAGATCCCATCAGAAAACAATAGGACCTACAGTCATGTTTACCGGGGCAGAGGTCTGGACTGTGTTTGCATCTCAGAAAGCTACAGAGAGGAGGGTGTGGTTAGAGGATGCTGGTTGGCACGGGGTGTAAGAAGACAGTTTTTAATTGTGTACAGTTTTATGCTTTTTCAATAGTTGCATTACTTTTGTAAAATGAGTAGACATAAAGTGAAAGGGAGGTACCCATGGCAGCAAGAGCTGCCCTGGCTCTCAGGCACTGGGTGCAGAAAAAACTCCAGATGTCAGGCTGCCATCTCCTGGACAAACAAGGAACTACAGCAGCGGGATGATGAGAAGAGTTTCTAAGGCCAAATGTCAACAGTTACAGCAGTAAAAAGGTAAGGCCAGAAAAAATGAATTCGAGCCGAGGTTTTGACTGAACCACAAGTGAAGAGAAACTATTAAAAACAAGCACACATTCAAATACAGAAATCATTAACTTTTCACAAATTGTTATGATGCAAACGACAAATCGGAGAAAACTGGGCCTAAATTGCTTTAATTTCTCAGAGCCAATGTTAGGAAAAATGCCTGTTTGTTCTTAATAACAACAAAACATTCATGCTGAAACATTTTGAAACCAACACAACTTGTAAAGTGTCTGTGTATTTTTATATGTAAATACTAGAAAATGAGAACAATTTTATATTTGAAAAGTCAAGTGAAAAAAAAAAATCACACACCAAAATGTTCCCTTCACCCTCACCAATGCTTTTTGAAGAATAAAACAAAGCATCCAAAATTATAAAAATTCAAAGACAATTGGGATTGAGATTATGGATCACAGAATTTAAAAGGAAAAAAATAACAATCATTTTTTAACCTGCGTGTTAAACAAAGAATACAAAAACTTAACAGAAAACAAAACCCTCTAACATCCTACATTTCTGAAAAAAAATTTTTTCTTTTTAAATTCCAAAACCAAAAAGCTTCATAAGAAGTTAATTAGTTCTCTCTCTCTTTTTTTTTTTTTTTGTAGTTTGTTTTCAGTGGTATACATTTCTCAACCACACTAAACTATAAAAGCGGGGGCGGGGGGATCCATAAAGAATTTATGTGTAAAGATAAAAGAATTTTTTAAACAATCTACCCTTTAGCAGAAGAAATTGGGGATCACTTTGAGTGTTAATGTAAAATACATTAGTCTTTGCCAGCAGGAGTCCCAGACCTGTTGGTGCCAAGAAGGTAACAAATAGTCTCTATCTGCGGAGGGGAAATGGGCGCTCAGCGGGAGCTTTCTCCCCTGGAGGGTTATTTATAGAGAGCACTATTTGTTAACAGGCTTCTGCTATCAAAGAGAGGGAGGTTAATGATTTCAAGGATTCTAAAGACAATTGTTTAATGATATATGATTTAAGCACATTCACAAATTCCAGATATATAACAACTTAGATTTTCAAACTGCTATCACCAAAATGGTGATAGGAAATAGGATATATGGCTATAGGGCTGAGGCATAACTGGAAAATCCAAGACAAGTGATAGTATGCACGTACTTGACACTGTAGAAAAGTTAGAATTAAAGCAGCTGGAAAATGCCTTGTTGAAAAGGAAGCCAGCGACCTACCACCACGTTTCATGTCGGTCAGCTCACTTTGGACTTAAAAGAAATTTTTTAAGGAGAACCATAAAATAAATCCCAAATTATCTGTAATTTGAATAATCTGGGAAATAAGTCTTCAACTAAACTGCTACATTTTCACCAAAAACCAATCCACCTCTCACCCCACAAAACGTTGAAGAATCTTGTTTAAAGGACAAAATGCTTTCATCACATTCATTATTTACAAATTATATGTTCATTTTATATAATGACACATCTATCATATAGGCAAAGGTAGGTTTTACAGTTGTGGGTATACAAACCTCAGTTTATTCTTGTATTATTAATTATTTATTATTATTTATTATTTTTTACACAAACAACTTTAAAACTACTTTTGCTCCCACCCTCACCATTCTGGTCATTGAAAAGACTTTCCCAAAATTCCATGTTGGACATTTGATTTTAATCTAAGAATTAAACATTTCAGACAGCTAAAGCAAGTCATTTAAGCTTCTCTTAACCTTAGCCCAAAGAGAAAACAAGTTTTACAATTTACATCTACCCCAATTTTTAAAACTTTTAACCAGTTTTTTGCAGTATTCTTAAAATAAAAACACATTTTAAAACAGCTTTCCACACTGTATTAACGTCCACTTTCACGTTATATTAATTATGTCAATTTTTTTTAAAAACCCTTCTCATCGACACGTAATGTGCCAATTCTAAAAGATAATTTTTTCAACAGACTCTAACCCTTTGGTGGTGAATATGTACTAACGTAAAACAAACTTAAGAGACACATTTAGGGTCTAAAAACAATCCTTTTTAGCAAAATACTAATAAAGCCTTTACAATTTGGGGGAAGGACATATTTAATAGAACGTTTATTTTTTAATGAAAAGAATTTCACTTATTTTTCCTTAAAAGTAGGTTCAACTCACATGACTTTATTTGAAACGATTAAACACTGACACTGACAAATAAAAGGAGCTAGGATGAAAGGCTCTCTTCGGCACGGGTGGGTGGCGTCCATCTTGCCTAATGTTCTGCAGCAGACGTCAGTTATTGCCGCAGTTCTCCAGCGTGGTTCATTCTTCCAACATCATTTGGAGAGCCTTCTCCCTTCTGGCTGAGAAAGGATCTTCTTTTATAGCATTTGTGCTTCGTGTTTGCAGTGTCTGCAAGTGCAGATATACAAAAACTCTTCCGCCTTTTCCCAGGTAAACGGGAAAAAGTGTCTGCAAAACCCTCACTGTTTTCTTGATTTGATATGGAGCAGGGTGTCCCCGTTTTGTGTCTGAAGGACGCAGTTTTTTCCCTAGGGGACACATTTTCAAATCCTCTGCTGTCCAATGTATGCATGGTTCTCCTTCTGATTCTTTGGGAGGAGCAGGAAGTGGAAAGAACTGGAAGTGAAATCCATACAAGTCCTTCACTTTCCAAGTCTTTTTGTAGCCTTGTGCTACGTCGGACTCTTGCCTCCCTATTTGTTCTCTGAAAGGTTTGTTCTATGGAATCAGATAAATCTTTACACAGTTCAGAATTTTCCAAACTAATTTCTGCAGAGCTGCCCACACTGTAGGAAGGTTTGTGCATTCCATTTTTTTCCAAAGACAAATGCTGACCATCAAGATAGCACATAGAGCGCCTTCGTTGTTTCCCTTCACAACTTACACCGCTTCTACTTTTTGTGGAGTTTCTTCCCAAATCCTCACTTTGACTTTTTTCTTTTCTTTCGGCAATTAAGACATCTTCCGAATAATCACATTCTTTTTGTGAGCCAGACATTAAATCCTCGGTCTGCAGTTTTCCTTCAGGACCTACTAAGAAGTCATCTTGTTGTTCACACTTGACATCTCCTGAAATTTCAAAGCTCTGAAGATTTTCCACATTTTGACCTGCAGCAGCAGAACCGTCTTCGGACTGCCCAATAAAATCGGACTGTGGACCATCTGACACGATGAGTTTTTCAGTCTTAGAAGCACAAGAAATATGAATGTTTTCATTCTTGGTTGCAGTTTTTAAGTTATTTTCACTTTCCAACTTAACTTCTGCTTTTGGAATAATTTTATTTGCATGGATTCCTATAGTATTTATACTTGAATCCTGATCACAAGTGGCATTAATAAGCGACAAGGAACTTTTTATGTAAGAGCTGCAGAATTCAGACACATTGTACTTATTGAATTCTTCTGAGTTCTGAGGGGAAAGATTCTTTCTTTCAGGAAGCTTCCTTTCTTCAAGTTCACCATCTAAGCTGAAATCATCTATGGGCATGTAAAGAAGTTTGATTCTAATTAAAAAGTAGCCATAAAAATAAAGTTCAACAAATCAAACAGGTGCCACATTATAGTATTTTAACCTTTCAAAAATCACAAGACCCATAAAACATTCCACTGTACCTGCCCCATCTGTCATCATCCTTTTTCTCTTGTCATTCCTTCCCAACCCACAGGCTAAGGGAATAGGTAGTTAATACATGAATTAATGAAGCCCAGAACCATAGACCAGGAAAATGAGAACTGTATCTGAAATTGCTTCCTCTATTCTAATATACTTCTCTCACCACAAGGTCAATGAGCGTGAGGCAGCTACATTTCCCTGAAAATGAATCACTGAAAATGGGCAACATCGTGCTTCTGAAACTTTTGCAGCAACAATTCCCCTGAAATAGAGGAAAGAAAACTTGGAATTCTGAGAGATTTAAGGACTTTGCCAAAACAGTTCTCCCTGAAGATTTTAGATCTTACACCTTGTGTTAAAAACTTAATATAAAATGCACTGCACTCTCAAATAGAGCCACATTTGTTCCAATATTCTAAAAATTTCCTCCCTCCTGCCTCAATTGCTCACTAAAATTCATCCTCCAGGGAACTCATACCATGTGGAGCCTGCCACGTGTTTTTGGCACACTATGTGACATCATAGGTGAAAAGTGTCACAGGTGAAACCATCATAAAGGTTTTGAAGTCACACGGCACTGCCTAAACAAACGCAGGCTGATGTGTCTACCTTCCAGTGTATTCAATTCAACATTGCCTCTCTTGTTATCCCAGATAAAGAAGTTTTAAATTGGCCAGTCAGATAAGTATATAAAATGTTCTAAACAAAATCAGACCTGGTAGAGGTATAAACATAAGCTGAACAAAACATCTAAAACACAAGATTTAGATCTGAAAGGTCTATGTCCATGGCTTGGGTAATTAAAATCATGGCACGGGAAGCTGGAGATGAGCTCGGAGGCTCTCCTCAGGGCCTCCACTCGGGGCCACCCAACTAACACGGGCCCTTTATACAACTTTAAAAATGGACACTTATGCATTGTTCATGAAATTAACATGCTAAAGAAGGAAAGTAGGGTACAGCAATGGAATTGGGGGGAGAGAGAGTAGGAGGGAGAACAAGGGAGACAGTGAGTAGAACATGGAAAGAAGGCAGGGAGGGAGAGACCTACTCTAAACCCTTGTTACAGCTGATTATAGATAAAAAAATGCTTCAAATGCTTCAGGTATTTCATAAAACAAGTTCTCTGATAAGATGAAAGATGGAAAATATTTACTAACATTGAACATCTTCAGAAAAAACTCGTTAGGATCTGGGGATATATCAAAAATAAGAGTTCCCAGTCTCAAGAGGACTGCAATTTGCCGGGAATGGAGGTGGACAGGTCACTATACACCAGGTGGGGCAGGTGCAGTGAGAACAGTTTTCCTGAAGAGGCAGCCAGCACAGCTGAGGCTTCTAGGAGACCAGCATCAGGCCAGACTAAAAGCAGTGAGGTGGCCGGCCACCCCCTGGCTCCAGAGAAACCACATGAAACGCAGGGGCTGGAGGAGCATGTGTGTGACTGTGGGGTGGTCCTGTGTCTGTTTAAACTTGTGTGCTTTCCTGAAGCTCAGAGGCAGGCAGAGCCAAAGGTTTAGAGTGGCACGCACCACTGTCATCCTGGAGTCTATTATAAACCCTATATGGTATGCTGCAAAGGGAGCACAGGCTATAAATACCGGATGACTGACAAAGGAAGCTATTTTAAAAACGATTCCGTACAAAATTAACCCACCAAATGAACACACACTCGTATCATCTGTGGCATGATTTAGTCAATTTAAAATCCAGGCATTACAAACAAAATGCAACTCCAATTTTTATCAAACTAGGATATTGAGCAACTTCATCTTTGCTTTTAAACAAAGCTTGCAGGGTAACCAAGTTCAACTCACAGGTGTCACTTTTAGAATACGCTTAGTAGAGCCAACTCTACTGAAGCCCGGGACAAGTATTTGAGTCACCACCTCACTCACTTTCAGTGATGAACTACACCACCAAACAGAACTCAGTTTACTTTAACCAAATGCTGTAAAAAGGAAGAGGAAACAGGGTGAGAAACATTATTTCCCTCCAAATTAGATGCAGCATCTCATGCCTGAGCATCCCTGAGGGGAGGGTATGAGCTTCCAACAGAGTCTGGGAAGGGTCTATGGCCCAAACGTCCCACTGCTGCTTCCTTCGCATTCGCACAGTAATGTGCAAAGTTGCTATTTTTTATTTATTTACAGTTTATATGATGAATAGGGAGCGGGGGAAAGAGAGGGAAAGAGCACAAAGAGGGCGAACAGAACAGAATGTGAACAAGGGCAAGGGGACAGGTACCTGACAGCACCCTGTGGACACCTGGAAGTGGAGGGGGCGTCTCAGTGGCCTCGGGCAGCTCCGGGATAGGACTTAGAAGCGGCTTCTTAGAAGCAATGTCTCGTTCCCCATACAGATTCTTCTGAATACCCTTCTTTCTTCTTCCTTTTTTCTTCTGGGAACTTTTTAAAATCTGAGAAAACGTATTAAAAACATGGTGACTGTGAAAGATGTAGCACCACCTATTACAATTTTGACCACTTAATATCTATAGAAACACTTAAGACCAGTTATGTCATTTAAGATTCCAGAAATGTGAGTCAGGAGTTGAGGGCTGGGCACCTTACACAAAGCCAAATAAAATTTAAAGCAGAACTCAATTGCTAAATGGTAGCATAATGTTCTATATTTGCCAAAATAAGCTCTGGATAAACCAAGAACAGATTAGATGAAGAAACTGGACAGACTTAAGACATGAGATACCTGTAACTAAGACACAGTTAGGATGGCTTGGGATTAACCAGGAGTTCCGACCGAAAGCTAGGGGAGGCCATGGATGAAGAAACAAGAGGTACATACATGGAAGAGAACGCAAAGCTTAGCAAGCTGATTCAAATGACATAAGATTTAATCAAGATTTAAATGAATAGGTCAAAATAAAATGGATTTTTAACAAGCACAAGTAGAAGATGAGGGGCAAAGGTTGGTAATAAATTGATAGAAAACATGCAGATGTCTATGAAAATGAGAAACTGCTTTATTCATATCTGGAATGCAGTATTAAATCTATTCTGCCAGTCGCTTTAGTAACTGAGAACTAATGTTCTATGTTAAGCAAAAGTTTCATACGGAAAAGAGGGAAACTCAAACACTGTACTGAAATAATAGATCACGAGCAAAAAGAAACAGATTCAGTGTGATGATGCTGGAGAGCCCAGACTGCAGGTCAACACAAGGGCCACGTTTGCAACAAAGCTTCTCAGGAAATGGCACGCGTGCAAACATTCACGGGGATACTGCCCGGGCAGGGAATGGCCTGCCAGGCGTGAGACATAAACACACTGGACGTGGTCTTTAGGGAGCGCCCTGTCTACCCGCAACTGTAACAGTACTACGTGCAGACTACGACGAACTGCAGATACGAGAAGACGTGTGCCTGGCCTTCGGGAGGTGTTCGAGGCAGGTTTCATGGAAAATGTGATGGCTGAGTTAAACCTGAAACAGGCAAGCACTGTTCTGGCTGAGGATGGGAGTGGTGCAGGAGGGCTCTCCAAAGAGGTAAGAATGGCACTCTGGGCCCACGTGCAGGGGCAGATGAAGCTAACAATGCAAGCAGGGCCCTGTCTGCACTAAGAGCTCACTGCATGGGGACCCAGGGAGTAACAACATTTGACATCACATTCAGGAAGTCATTTGGTGACAGCACAGAAACAAGTGATGTGAAAGAGTAATTTTCAGAGTGCATTAGTGGCCCAGAACTGTACGTTCCTTGAAATGTCTACAGATACCCTGAGAAAACTAAATAAAACGTTGCATGGAAAAACAATTTTAAAACGGCCAGTACAAGATAAATGTTCCTCTTGGTGATTTACTATATACATTTAACATTATGTTTTCTGAGAAGTCCTCAGTATAATCTTATATACATTAGGAAAATACTGGGTTAAATATTTTACCATGAAACTTTTTTCCCCCCATGGAATTTCTGTTCACTTGCATGAAACAGCTGGGGAAATGATAGCTCGGCCAATGGAGGTAGAAGACAAGAGAAAAACCTTAACTCAGCTCCATAGATTAGATGCAAAAGTATTTGGCTTCTGGTGCTAAAAGCCTCCTGTTCAAATCCTGATTCTGCCCCTTATCTGCTTTATAACCTTAGGCATGTTACCTTACCTCCCACTACCTCATTCCCACCTCCTCTGCAAAATGGAAATCACAACAGCACTGGTATTCAGTAAGTTACTTTAGGTGAAATGGTGAGTTACAAAGGACACATGGACAATAACAAGGGGGTAGAAACAGGGGAGGGAGGTGGGGAGGGTTGGGGTGGTGGGGAGGGGTGGGGTGAAAAGGCAGAAAACTGTACTTGAACAATTAAAAAAAAGTTAAAAAAGAAAACGGGGCTTGACCCATGTGTGTTAGATATTCCTATTCTTTTAAATTCATTTCCTACTTTGAGGATGGATATGGGGAACATATTTTTAACATCAAAAACTATGCTCCTAGTATTATTGGGTGACACAGACCCTGCATGGCCGGTTAATATACTACAGTCAATCTTATAACCTCTAGAATAGTTTGATTCATATGTAGGGAAAATCCCCCTTTAGCCAGATTTTGAAAAGCTTTGTTGATATAAAGTCTCCAGCACCTTGCACATAGTGGCTTCTCAACAAACATGAACGAAGGGATAAATGAATGAATATGAAAAAGAAGTACAATTAATTAAACTTCATAACATTTGCTAAACATGGTGAAAGATGAATACTGTTTTTTTATGGTCATGGGTCAACAGGGGTAAACCACCAAAAAGAAAAGACTGAAGCACCTGCAGTCTGCCGTGAAAACACATCTGCATTATCCGTGAGAAGGCTTCATCTGCAAAGGCCAGAACTTTAACAGCATTTGAATCTAAGCCGATGCAAAGACCTTGCTTATGCTGTAGTCAGCAAAAGCAGCCACGGTGACTGGAAATGTAAGGAAGCCACACAATCTAGAAATGGTTATTGGAGCAAAGGACAAGTGAAGGGTCACCCCTGAAGTGACTCCATTTCCTGCAGAGTCACCGGTCTCTCTCCTCACACAGCGAAGGAGGTCGTGCAACAGAAGCAAATGCTTATTTTGTATTTGCACAATTAAGATTTATATACATGGCAACAAATCAAATTGTACAGGAAAGCTTATGATGAAAAGCATGTACTTCAATACTCCTGCTGTTTACTTAGTAGTCCCATTTTCAGTTTTGTAGGTAGCTCCATCTCTTTCACTAAGGGGCTCATGCTGCTATATTTTTAACTTTTATTTATAGTGGAAAATGCCAAAAACACAAAATAGAATAGTATGTTGAATCCCATGTTCTCATCAACTATCTTTAACAATCACTAACATACAGAAATCAAGATTCATTTATAACCCCCCACCCTGATTATTTTAAAGTAAATCCCAGACATTACATTTTATCTGAAAATCCTATAGTATATCTGAGAGGGAAGGGTTCCTATTTTCCACCATGAAATAAAACATTTTATTACCTGACATTGTATTTTATTGCTTTTTTTCCTCTTTTACAATGGAGTTTTATTTTTCCAGCTTTATCGAGATATAAATGACATATAAATTTAAGGTATATGTGCAATGTAATCACATACACATACATGTATACATATATACTGCAAAATTATCTCCTCATATGACAACAAATACTGCTCAGCAACAAAATTGAATAACTTGATACATACACAAAACTGGACCAATTTCCAGCAAATCGTGCCAAGAGAAAAAAAGCCAGTCTGAAAGGTGACAGTGTGTGATCCGCTTTAGTAACATGCCTCCAAAGAGCAGTGGGAGTGCTCTCTGGCCCCCGGACAGCACTCCGGCGCTGCCTTCCTGTGATGTGGTGCCCCAGTGCTGCGAGATGGCACCAGCACTGCTGGGAAAAACTGGGCAGAGGGGACCTGGAGTCTCTCTAACTCTTCTTACAGCAGCATGCATTTCTCAAATTACCTCAGAATGAAACATTTAAACACTAAGGACAGCAATGACAGCTATTTTCCCTCATGTTTCAGCAGAATTCAAAGCTCTCCAATTGGCCCATTAAACATCTTTTTAGAATTATTCAAATCAGGCCTCCCCATATTCCATATGGTTGATAGGTCTCTGTATATCTATGGTCCCTTCATTTTTCCCTCTTGCCTTTTGAGGAGTAAACTGAGGCATCTGCCCCACAGAATGAACCAAACACTGGGTCTGGCTCACTGCAACGACAATCTGCATCTTCCTGCATCCCCTGTACTTCCCACAGGCTGGTCGTTAAATCTAGGCTTGGTGAGATTCAGCTTTGAGACACAGACACACATATTTTCGGAAACAGCATCTCATGGACGGCTGGACGCATTCCTGCAGCTTCAGGGGACCTGCTCTCCAGAGGCATTAGGGCCCATGTGTTTGTCTGACCTGTCCACCATGACTCCCTACCCTGCTTCCTAAGGTTTGACATCTTTCATGAACATGTTGTTTTTACTTGTTAGCAGAAATTCTTCATCAATTATTTACTTGAAATAGAGCTCAAACTTTATTTTGTAATTTTTAGAAAAATTAGTTGATGCTCTAGACAGCTACAGTGGCTTTCAAGTTTTGTCATTATTTTTAATTATCATGAACTTAAGTGTTTTTTTCACATGTGATGTTTGTGTTTCAATCTATTACAATCATTCTCTCTGACAATCACACTGCCCCACCTCTGGTCAGTGGCAGCCCCTTCCCAATGGCCAGGTGTCCTCTGACAGGGCCCTTCCTTGCTTGTACACTGGGACACACCAAGAGCACTGGCTACCTTTGCTGCTGTGAAGCTGAAGGCAGTGGTTTCACTAAAGGAACCCTGCTCCCTTTCTACTAGGATGGTCCTTAGGACCACCATCTAGGTCCCAGAGTGAGAAAACACCCCAAACCACGAACGTATGTGTGCATGTATGTGTATATATGCGTGTGTGTGTATATACACACACGCATATATACACATACAGTGAGAAAACTACTCTAAAGGAAAAAACATGAGTTCATACTGATATTTCCCATTCAAATTTTGTCTAGCAAGGTTTTGAATTTGATTTTAAATTGTTTTTTGTCTCATAGTGGAAGTCTTGATTCCTAAAGTCAGTTTTAAAAAACTGTTTATTTTCTTTATTCTAGACTTAGCTCCCCTGTCCAGACAAGCACTTCACAGTTTAAGCCATCTTTGTAGTTATTTTTGTCCTTATGATATACCCCACTGAGATTTTTCAGATTTCCAAGTTTGAAAAATTCTTTGTGAGGTTAAGCCATCAACTTGATAATTTGTTCCATCTGTTTTTAATTTTTAGGGATTGTTCTTTTTCCTAACGATTCAGTGTCGAAAGGTAAAACATTCAAGAATGCCTAGCTTTCATGCTTTTCTGTTACCTCCAGTTGCCCCTCCCTGGAGGTAAACCCTTGTTA